GTAATGATTATGCACTGATAATGGTAATATTAATACTAATTTGAGGATGCTGTGCCAAACTGTGCGTTTTTTCGCTGGTTCTCAGATATGTAAGAATATCTTCATTTCCTTGTACTCCTACAGTCGTTACCTGAACCTTTGGTTTATGGTAATATGTAGTTGTCGTTCTCTGTTGAGCCAGTTGAAGAAATTGTGGACGATATGGAAAGATTACAGATGCTGTCTTTCGGAGAACTGACAGCGTGACTGACTCTGTTCTTTCTGTTAAGATTTCTAGTCAAACTGCCCTTCTGTTAAATATCAACTTGAACATTTTGATAGAGTGGAATTCAACAATCAGTTAGATTAGCCGCTCGCGACTTTTCGTTAACGGTTCACTCATTTGGACCTTCTTTTGCATAAATGGTACCGTACTTTCTGTTTTGAGACCGATCGAACGGTATTTTACGATTCAACTGGTACTTCTCAGTGATTACAGTCATTCTTTCATAGTCGCTGAACCAAATGGCCTTCTCTTTAATGTATGTTAATCAAAGCATATAGAGGCCCTGCTGTTCCCGGTTAACTGATGTCCCGTTCGCCGAGATATCTTTAAGTTCACATCGAATTTTTAATCCTTCTAAGGTGACAGCTAGAGAGGGAACTGACGATGCTAATCTTTCTGCCAGATTTATGCTGCGTTACTGCAATAGCCCGTTCTTTCTATAGATTTTTGGAACCATTTAAGCAGGTACAAATCCATTTTACACGTTTGAAGATGCGGATGCATGTGTCGTTCTTTCACGAAATTTCTGTTTAACATTGCCGCACTGTAAGTGGCTTGTCTGTAGTACAAGAGAAATAAGAGCAATCAGGCTTCTGGTTAGTGAAACTGGAGGAGGATTAGGATGCACCGCGCCATGATCTTCATGAAAAATAGAGTACACATAAATAGCGACCAGCTAGAAAGATGTATCAGTGACCGACATGCCAACGGTGACAATTTTCGTTTTTTTTTTTCGTTGTTGCACATCGGCCACCATCAGTACTATACACAGATGGAACAAAGAGAATTTATAGGAAACATTTGGGGGAAACATGCCATTAATGTTAGCGAACAAAAATGGCCAATGGCATTTGGATGTCTAACTGCTCATTTTTATATTTTTATGCCGACGACGAATTTCAGACCTTGCCCATAGTCTGTTGCCTTGAACTATGATTCAAGGAAAATGAGTTATAAATGTTCAAACGGGTATCAACTTTATGTCGTCCTCCATACTTAATGGAGTAATATTCTTTTCGTTTACAATCTGACGTATGACCTTTGGATATTGTCCGTCATTTATGACCTTGATGCCCTAAGGCTTTGCACTTAAACCATTTTAGTGAAAGGTGACACCTATTAGCCAATGTCATTTCACTCGGTTAGCTCATGTTTTACTGAAGCACTTGATGCCTATCTGTCGCCTACGTTACAACGAACCATCGTTAGCAACTAAACACATTTATTGTGCGCATGAATAGATATCTATCTACTCTTCGTAAGATAAATTTCCGCGATGGTCACGATAGGGCGAAGCATGTCTGGCTGTTCACACCTAAATTGATATGGTAATTTGAAAAGCCTGTAAACCTGAATGAGATCGATTAATCGCGTGATGATTACCTGATC